GCGGTTACAATGGTAATGGTAATTGCTGTCTCTGAGAAGAATCTAGGCATTTCCGGGGCTATCCTCAACACACTCTCCCTCCATTTTGCTCCTGCTTCACAGACTCAGACAACACCTTCTCCTAACCCTGGCCTTGTTTTTAATACACTTGGTCTCTTCCTTTATTTCACGGTGGCCCCAAGAGCAGCACCTGGCAGATGAGTATATAGCAGCCCTCTGCCCTCTGTACTGCTGAGCCTTCCTGGCTCAGAGCCTGGACACCAGGCAACCATTCTCAAATATTTACTAAGCAGAACGCCCCAAGCCAGGACCTCCGGGGACCTGTGGTGGAAATACTAAATCCCCAGTGCCACTCCCGTTACATTTCAGCAATACTTCAGAGTCACAGATGACCCCTACCCCCTTATGTCACCAGGCAGCCCACCTCCTACGTGCCACCAACCAAGTCATCACTGGAATCCAGCATCAAGCCACTCTGTCCCAGACACGACTGCATCTCAACACCACACTACACACGAACACGTCTGCTTTAAAAATTAGCTGTGACTCTAAATAGATAATAAAACATTGCTTTCTAAGGGGAATAATGATTCAATCTAAAGAGCAAGGCTTCTTGTCAGGCTGAATTTGAATCCCAGTAACTCAGACTTGTCCATCCTCAACCCCCATTCTCCATTTGGGTAACATCAGGATTGGAAAATAAGTGCATACTGTTATAGAATGGGGTATTCCCGGGACTACAGCAGCTGAGGCAGGAGGATTACTCTAACTTTGAGGACAGTCTATATACTATAGAGTAAATTTCAGATGAGGCTGGGCTACAGAGTGAGATCCTGTTTCAAAAATAAAACATCCAGCAGCAACAACAAAAGACTAAAAAAGAATATAAAATTTTGTAAGAGTCATGTGAATTCATTAAAATATATCAGAGCAAATTAAACTCTCCTCTGAATAGTGCCTCCTTTTCCCCATCCTTCCTCACTTATTCATTCCTCCTTCCTTTTCCTGCCTCCCTTCTTTATGTTTCTCTTTCTCCCTTCTGCAAACAAGTACTCTGGACCAATGGTAGACCAAACAGGCATTTAAATGCATATATGTGTGTACACCTCATGAGACCCTGGTGCCTGTGGAGGCCAGAAGAAGGCATCTGATCCTTTGAAACTGGAGTTAGAGACCATTGCAAGCTGCCATGTGGGAATCAAATCCTGGTGGGGCAGCCAGCACTCCTGACCACTGAGCCACCTCTCTACCCAGTAAAAAAAAACTTGAAGGCAAGATAGCAATTGCTCTTTTGTAAATAAAAAAATGTATTTTTCTTTCCTTAAATGTTAGATTATATGATGACGTCAACAAAGAGTGTGGTAAACTATTCTGGTAAGAAAGAAAATCTTTGCTAGCAGGCAGACTACACAGCCGGTAATGGGTAACACTTCACAATCTACTTACCTTAACTATTAGGTCTTCAGTGGCCAATTGCAATAAATAAAGCTGTTTGGACATTGTGATATATAGACATATACATATATGTATATATACTTATATATATGCATACATATATACACACAGAGATGTATGTTAAATATACGTGAATCAAAATATGCCGAATATGAAACCCATGTGTTTTCATATATGTTCATATAACTTTCCAAACTTGTCAACCAAAATGCATATTCTGAGCCATCATGGCATGATGGTGCACACTGTAATCACAGCACTTGGAAGTAAAGGCAGGAGTCTCAAGGGTCAAGGTCATCCTTGGCTACATAGCGAGTTAAAGGACATCATGGGATATGTGAGATACTGTCTCAAAACGCACACGTGTGGTTGACATCTACCTAAATATCACCTCCTGATATTTAGGAGTGTTGTAGACATCACTACCAGACAAAAGGGTAAGGCATGGCTGAGGAAGCGAGGAGGGACTAACACGAACTCTCTGCAACAGTGGGATTTATCACCAGCGTGAAGCAACCACAGGGTGTAAAGCTGGCATTCGAAATGTAGTCCCATGCCAGTCTGGGCCTTGCAAAATAGTCACTGCCTCCATTTTACAGATAAAGGCGCTAACTCACAGGTCAACAGCCAAGGGGCAGGCTCACCATTGAACCAGAATTCCTATGGCTCAGAGCCCAGACCTTCATACTGATCATTACTGGCATTTAATCTTTTGTCTCATTTTTGTTTCCTGAGTGTCAGTGGATGCCAGGGCTGCTCAAAACAGACACAAAGGCTGTCACTTTGCCTCCACATTCAAGGCAGTCAGAGTGCCTGTGTGCTAATTCAGAGCCTGGGAAATATAGTGAGCCCATGCTGGAGGTCCCTGCTCCCCTACATAAAAGTCCGGCATCATAGCTTTGGCTTCAAGAATGAAATCTCCCTGTTGGCAAACAAGACTAGGCCCCAAAGTCAGCTGTCTATTTAACAATGAACAATGACTATGCCATACCTGCTCCCTGTGCATTCCAGAGGACAGATTGTCCCAGCACCTCCGAAAGAGCCCCAGGACATCCCAGGATCAACCAAGGAGCCACTGACAAACATAAATAAGGTCATTGTGAAGACAGACATAGCCACATAGAAGAAAAAAAAATCCAAATAGGCTGAGAGATCTCTCTCTCTCTCTCTCTCTCTCTCTCTCTCTTACCATCCTCTTCCCTTTGCCTCTCTCTTAAATCATGACAGGGTACAAGCCCTTCACTCCAACATTACAGACCCCACTGTTACATAGAACAAGACTTCATTCTCTTCTCAAGTAGGTTGGAAAGGGTAGCCAGCATGGCTAACAGTGACTCTTGTCCTTTCCTTCCCTGTCCATGATGATGATTCTGATATGTAGCCACTCTAATTACATGCCAGGCATGCATGCCCATAAAGAAGTCCCAGTGTCTCAGTCACTGACTAGTGCCATGAGGAGACAGCATGACTGCAGAACTCTTATAAAGGAAAGCATTACAGTTTCAGGGGTTCAGTTCATTATTATCACAGCAGAAAGCATGGAGGCATGCAGGCCGATACTAGAGCAGTTGCTGAGACCTACATCCTGACCCTTAGGCCGAGGGGGCAGGAGAGACTGGGTCTGTCTTGGGCTTTTGAAACCTCAAAGCCCACCCACAGTGACACACTTTCTCCTAATCCCCCTTCTCCTTATCCTCATCCTCTTCTCTCTCTCTCTCTCTCTCTCTCTCTCTCTCTCTCTCTCGTTGTTTGGTTTTTCTGAGACAGGGTTTCTCTGGCTATCCTGGAACTCACTCTGTAGACTAGGCTGGTCTTGATCTCAGAGATCCACATGCCTCTGCCTCCCAAATGCTGGGATTAAAGGCATATGCCACCACCACCCAGCTCCTAATCTTTTCCCAAATAGTGCCACTCTCTGATGACCAAACATCCAAATCTATGTGTGTGAGGACCTGGGTTCAAATCAGCAGAATTGACATAACTCTGGGTGCCCTAACACACACCTGTAGCCCTAGAGCTGCAGCGGCAAGATGAAAGGCAGAAAAGGAAGAATCCAGGGAAGCTCCAGGGGCCAGCCAACCTGGTATGCAGTACGGCAAACAGCAAGAGACCTTGTCTCGAACAAGGTGAAATGTGAGGCTTGACACCGGGGCTGTCTTCTATCCTTCATGCTGGCAACACAGCAGATCCATGCCTACACACACACACACACACACACACACACACACACACACTCACACACACACGGCACACACGTACACATATTATGTGCACAAATACACGTATTTTTTTAAAAAGAAGATGAAGATGGGCTCCATGAGTGCATGTCTGTGAGGCCTCAAGGGCTCCATGCTCAAAGAGCCCCGTGTTTGCCTGAGTACTCTGATGTGACCGTGTTGGAATGTTTCATCATTTTTGAGCATCACTTGGTAACGAATCCTGAAAACAATGTGGCAGATTTTACCAACGAGCCTCCAAAAGCAGCAAGTAAGTTCTCCCAGACCCACATGAAATCCTGGTTAAGGAGAATGGGAGTACCAGGCCTCTGTCTGTGCAGAAGGCCTGAGCCAGAAGTAAGGGGTGGGATGGTACGTGACCTGAAGCCAGGTGTCCTTGCCTATAAGGCAAACTACACGTTCATTCTTCTCCATGGCTAACAAAGGAAGGTCTATAAATTGACTCGTATGTATGTAACCGGTGTTCTAAAAATGCAAAGAATTGAGAGAACTCAGCTGTACTTAAGCCTACTGGCTTCAGAATGTCGATTTAACCTCCTACCTTTACATTCTAAATAATGATCTGTTTACTTTTATGGTTACCTGTTACCTATGCAAATGATACTAGTTTTTCAGTTTAGTGCTAACGAAGGTGTCTTTTTAAGATAACTAAGTAAAAACAAAGCTCACAACCTTATTATTATGCAAATAGTAAGGAGATTACCATAAGCGAAAGAACACACCAAGTGAGTGTGCTAACCCAGAGACTGAACCACAAGGTACAGCTCCATATGTAAATGGGACTTTTCCTCAACGCTCCCGCCAGTTCACACAGAGTCTCCGACAAACTAAAGGATGTCCGTCCTTTGTGACGGCACTGATCCAGGCCAGCAAGAGAACCTGTACTAAGATTCCTTCAGCTTTGGCCAGCAAATCCGTTCCCTGGATATGCTTGGAATATCCATCATGGGGGACAGATACTCCAGGGACACTGGCCCACTGTATCAAGCTTTGTTTGAGAGAAAAGGACCACACACAGATGGGTTGCTATGAAAATCATTTACCATAGAGTTGGTCAGAGCAATTAATTGTCCTTGAGAACAAAGGAGACCCTTCTCTCATGACCACCGAGGGCAGCTGGCCCCAAGGAGTACCAGCCATCTCTCTGGGGCCAAAGCTTCCCCAGCTGATTTCCACAAATACCCACTTGTAGAGCTGTATCTTTGTTTGGATGATGTCTTGGTCTTCTAATCAGCCATCAATTCCAGCAAAACTAATGTAAGGATAACTGTGTTACCCACCTCACCTTTTGAATTATTTCCTCTCCAGGCCAAAGAGAGAAGCCATCATGGTTTCGACGCAGATAGAGATGCCAAAAAGCTATACAAAGCCTGCAAAGGAATGGGTAGGAAAATCATTTTGTTCACTCATTTATTTTTGAAATTGATTAAGCTTGATGCCATGACCAACCTTCCCATGGGGGCAGGAAGGTGACCTACCTGCCATAGGTTTTCTAAGCTAATTCAAGTTGATCTCTTCCAAGTAAAGATCTCTTTACTTGAGGTCTCAAAGTTATCATGGGGGCTCATTATTCTTGAGGATATCGGAGGCTAAATCTTGTGACATTTAATTTGACCTTGAAGTTATGGGGAACTTCATCAGAAGTGAAGCTTACGCTATCTTAATCTTGTCTACAAGACTTTGGCCTTTTCCGTGGGAGGTAGTGGGGAATGGGATCTGAGGAGAGCGCATTGTGTGGGGGTGAGGGGCGAAGGGCGGGGGGGGGGGGCAGAGATGTACCTGGAAGTAGACAAGGCCTGCTTGGCAGTGACAGCTAGGGAAAATCAGAGGAAAGCCCAAAGGAGGCAGATTCCTGTGCATCTCCTGTGGTGGCTCATCTCCTGTCTCATGTGTGGCGGACAGCTGTCAAGGAAAGGCCATGTGTGGAAACCTCGGATGTTTATGCCTGAAAATTGTGCCAAGCAGAAGGGAACTCCAGGGTACTTTCCAGGCAGCTGAGACTTCCCTGATGCTCTGTGGTGAGGTCCAAATGCCTAACCATGGGATGGGGACAGGCGTCTCATTAGGTATGGTGTTGATTTGGCATACTTAATATGAACTACTTTTTCACCCAGAATTCACTTAAAAATATCCAGGATGAGTACCAACTGAATGCCAAGATCCTAGTTCTCATGCCCCTTTGGCATGTGACCACCGACTGGAGCCAACATGCCTGTTACTGTATAGAGTGCCTATGTGACCATTGCCTAGCTCAGTGACACTCATCCACCATCAGCCTGTTCGGTCTTCCAGCAAGCCTGTAAAGTATATACTACTATAAGGGCTATCAGACAACAGTGAAAGGCACTATGCTGAATATTTGCCCCAAATCATAAAATCATGAAACAAGGGTGGAGCTGTTAGACACTTAGCCATCAGAGAGCTTTCTGATTTGGGTGAAAGTATAGCTCCTCGCCTCCTCTGAGAAGTACACACTGAAGCAAAATTATATCACTGACATAGTTTGCCTTCAAGACTTTGTGTGACAGCTTTGCCAGGGCAGAATTTAAACGTCTACAGTGAAGCTCTCCAATAGCCCCAACTGTAAGCCTCATGGTTGCTTAACTACTTTAAAAATTACTTTGAGATAAGGACTTGCTGTGTACCCCAGGCTAGCCTCAACTGATGGCAACTCTCCTTCCTCAGTGCTGGGATTATTAGGCATTTACCACCACATGAAGCTTTGCGAGTTTATTCTACAGCCATATGTGGGTGTGAATGTGTAAGCAGGAAAGTGGTGTCAGGTGTCTCCTCCATCACTCTTTACCTTTGAGGCAAGGTCTCTACTGACTCTGGAGCTCACTGATTGGCTAGCCTGGCTAGCCAGAAAGTCTCCTGTTTCCAAGCACCTATATTTCAGGTGTACACCGCTTTTTACATAGGTGCTGGGTATCCAAACTCAAGTCCTCATGATTCACAGCAAATAATTTACCTACCGAGCAGTTTTTCCAAGCTCTACATTCGTTTTGAAGACAGTAGCCTACGCTGTCCTTGAACTCACGTAGCTGAGGCAGGCTTGAATTGATCTTACTGCCTCTACCTCCCAAGTGCTGGGGCTACCGGCAGGTGCCACCACACCCGACTTCACTTTCAATTTTTAAGAAGCCAAAGTTTAAGAGGAACAAAATATGCAAATTGTATTTTTTGATGATAGAGTTTCATTAACCCCAGTTTATATAAAACTATCATTTATCCCAATATTGACATAAAATTATAAACGAGGTATTTCACATTCTGTTTTTTTTTTCACATTTTGTTTTTTTTTTTTTTTTTTTTTTGGTTTTGTTTTTTTTTTGGTACAATGTTCCTGAAATCTGGTGTGTACTCTGTACCTATAGAATATTGTTATTTTCATCAGTCACCCTTCAAGTACTAAATAGCCATGAAGAGTCAGTAGCTGCTGGGTTGAGTGGAGGAGGTCTGGGAGCCCCATGCAGGGTAAAGATTACCTTCATTCCTACCCCCTCATCCAGCAAGTCAAATTAGAATGTTCCATAACAAAATAGTTTATTTCTCCAAACGATGCAAAACTTGGATTCTAGCTTGGGGCATTTGTACTCCCCTAGTGACTTATGATGCCCTAAGTATGTGGATGATCCTGGGTCGTGGGCATCCTGAAAACAGACCCTGACTTCTCCCTGACACTGGCACTCTTTCTCAGCCTAGGCCCCTCTGCTGCCCCATCCCGGTTCCAAGGGTGCAGTGCACCCTCTACCAGCTTCTGCCTAGACTTAGCCTTTGCAGAGTCACCTCCGTCAACTGACCCCACCAAAGAGAATGCCCTAATCAAAGAGCATATATGAACCAGCAGCCTCTTAGGCCTCAAAACCACTGCAGATCATCTAATACATGGCTTCTCAAATGTACAAATGGGTTCTCAAATGAGTCATCAAGGGGACTTGGAGGGATATGGGGAAGAAGGGGACTGTCCATTTTGCATTTCCAATAGGTCTCAATTAGTAAGAACACTGCAGAGCCTGGGAGCACACCTTAGGGTCAAGCTCAGGTCCACTGAGGTGCACAGAGCTTAAACTACTCAGCCACTTCAGATCATGCTTCTGGCCTAGAACTCACGCCCCAAGTTTCAGCCCAGCACTCTTTCCCCACGCTTTCTGTGTGTGGTGCACAGCACTCCACTGGTAAACGTTAAGCCACTCCTTAACAGAACGCTCAGATCCAATTAGATCAGCCTGTGCATTAAGCAGGCCCCACCTGTTGTCCATCACAAAAGGGTGAATGGAAGCCTCTAGAAGCGTTGGGGAGGGGGCCAGAATCTGGAAGAGAGGCCTTGTCCTCATTTGGAAAAGGGGTCTTTGTAGATGTGATTGAGTTAAGGACGCTAAGAAAAGAGCCCCAGGGATCCCGGGGTAGGTTTGCAATACGATGAGGAAGGAGTGTCTTTAAGAAAGACAGGAGAGATGGCAGCCAGTTTGGGGACACATGAAAACAGGGAGAGACTGCTCTTAAGTAGTCCCACTTCAAAGAGTGCCAAGTTGCCAGGAGAAGCCTGTTGACACAGTGACTTTGGACGTCAGTCTCAGAACTGTGGCGGTACAAGTTGTGTTGTTTGAAGCCATTGAATTTGTGGCAACTGACACAATAACCTCTGGAAATGAGTGCGCTGAACGAGTGAAAGGCCCTGGTCCCCTGGGAAAGACAGGATTCAGCCCCATCATTATTTCACTTGCCTTCCCGTGCTCTTTCTTCCAGAAGAATTTAGGGGCGGGGCATACCAGTGTGAGAATGTGGGGGTGGCCTCTCGCACCAGATCTAGGAACAGAGCTTTCTGGGGCCAGACAGGTCACCGCGGACTGCAGAGTTTGCTACCAGTTTAGTTAGCCTTGTTTTTCTGGCACATGGGATCTTGTGGACTTTAAACGCTGTGGCTCCATTCTGCCAAAACTCCAGCACCACCCAGTTGCTTTCCAGAAAATTGCTGGGAATGTATACCACAGATGCCCATGGGTACTCAAGGCTGGTGATTGCTCACTCTGACAGCGCTGTGTAATTAGTCCCCTCCAGGGTCTGGTGTACAGCCAGCGTGGAGGGTCTTTTATTTTTCTTAAGCCTTTCCCAGAACTGCTAGGGACTGGCCCGAGTGCCTCAAACCATTGTAAATGTTTACAGGAAAAGGCTCAGCGGCACAGACTGCTTATAAGACACATGGAGCGTGAAATGTAGAGTGAGGTCACCTTCTGCAAACCACTTCTTCCTTGGGTTGTAAAAACAACTCCCAGGATCAACCTGAGACTCCGTCTCAAATAGCTTGAGGGAAATCTGTGTGTCATTGTCCTGCCTCCCTCTACCTGCAGGTTGGTGTTGAAATATCCTACCATTACTGTGATCTCTTGTGTTTGTATTTTTTGCTATCTGTTTTGCTTTGGGTTTTTTGTTTTGTTTTAACATGAGGTCTTATTGAATAAACCAGGATGGCCTTAAACTCAGCCCAGGTTGATATAATCCCTCTGCCTCAGCCTTGCTCGTACTGGTATTACAGAGATATGCCAATATGTCTATCTTAAGATCTCTCTTGTTTAAAAGCCCTTCTAGGAAGCAAAATCTAGAGAAGTAGATTTTTTTCCTCTAATAAACTCAGCTTCCCTGATTATCCAGATATAGGTTGCACAAGACACCCCAGTATAGAGTATTTCCTATTGGCCCTTGGTATGTACAATCCATCCAAACATGACACAACTCACACCAATGCAGTGACAGATAATGGTGCGCAGATCTCTCCCCCCTGTTCATACACATAGATACGCATTCGCACATTCAGCAAGACATAAATATAGACAAATATCAAAAGCACTCTGTGTAGATACAGCAGTGAATGAGCACCCTGCTCCCAGGCTACGTAAGGCATCAGAGCCAGTGAAGATGGACCATGTGAGGAGCACAGATGAGGATTGCCTCATCTGTGAAGAAAAGTCTGTGAGTTGAGTCCTGAATCTTGACAAGTGGCAAAGAAAGTGAAGCTCAGACAGAAAGGTGTGCCATGAAGAGCAAAGATCAAAAGACCCAGGAGTGAGAAAAAGGAGCAACACTTCCTTTGCTAGCCGCAAACTACCTCTAGTGTGGATGAGAAGGGCTTGAAAGGGAGTGAGTAATGTGTATACACTAAAAGGTCCCGTGGACTCCTCTAAGACCTTTGCATACTTAAAGGAACCTGTGTTGAAAGGCTGGAGCAGAGGGCTAATTGGATACAGAGTGAAAGGAGAGAGAGAGCGAGCCAGGATGAAGCCCAGGTGTTTACTGGCTCCAAACAGTAAATGTAGCAAATGGAGGCAGGAAGACATGGGAGGCTCTAGGATCTGAGCCTGGAATACTGAGGCCCTTGACCGGACAGGAGCAGCCCCAATGGAAAGAGGGTCCACTAAACTGACAGGGTACATTCTATGATATTTAAAGAAAAATGAAATCTTTTCTGAGGGGAGATTTCCGGCACCCAGGCATTTAAAACATTAGTCACAAAAGCACCGCAGAATAAGCAAGCAGATACACATCCCCCGGGTGAAAGCCCTGGAGGAAAGAAGAGATAGGACCTGAATAACAGTGCTGGACCCAACCCAGGAAGCGGCAGGCAATTAACCCTGCAATTTCTGCAGGTGAGCTCATCCGAGGATGTTTCTCTTCCTCTAGCTGGACTCACAGAGCTAAAATCCTCCCAGAACTAGAGGGGGAAACAATCCCTGAGATGAGGCAGGGACCAAGGGCACAACACTGGCATTTATAGCGCTTGCTGCCTGTGTTATGCGGTTTGTTGCTGTATGCACCATGGCCCCCTCTTTGGACTCTCTCTTTTCATTCTCACATGCCCTTGAACTACCTGATCCCAGCTACTGGGTGAGAAACTACAGGTGTCAAAGTAGTACTCTGGCACACAAACACACACACTCACACACAAACACACATGGAAGTTTATGAATAGGATCTACATTCTGTAAATTAGGGCTTCAATCTTATCCATTCAGTTATACGTACCCAGAAGAAAAGGAACAAGCCATATCCTTTATTAGGTTTTTAAAAATAACTTTATTGAGATTTAATTCACATACCATATAACTCACTTATTAAAAATATACAGTTCAGTGTTCACTATAGCCACAGATATATGCAGCCCTGCCATAGTTCATTGATTTCAGATGAGACTGGGCATATTCAATATGGTGCAGCCCTAGACAGCTGGTAGTCTTTAGAATTCTTTTATCTTCTCACTCCTGTGCATCCACAAGCCCTAACCCACTTTCTGCCTCTATGGAATCCCTTATTCTCTATTTTTATATGAATAAAATAATTCAATATTCGGTCTTTTGTGATTGGCTCCTTTTACTTAGAATAACATTTTCAAGGTTCATTCATATTCTTGTGACTCACTAGTATATGGATACCCCATATTTTGTTTAGCCATTTGTCATTTTGAGTGGTTTCTACCTTTGGCTGGTTTTAGCCAGTGTTGAGGGTTGGTCTGATGCTTATCTTTTGATGCTAATTACTGGCTCTCAAGATCTGGTTACCTTGCCTGGATTCACCTAAACCTACCTGATTGGCTGATTAAACAGCCTATACCTGGGCAGGGGAGGATGAGGTAGGTGTGGCTAAGGTTCCTGGGCTTTCGAGGACAGGAGAATCATGGAAGACAGACAGGTGAAAAGAAAGGAAGAAGGAGGACGCCAGGATGGGTTAGCATGGAGAAGAAACCAGGTGGGCAAGGAGGAAGGACTCCAATAATAGCGTAGAAAGGCTCAAATAAAAAAAAAATAGAAGAAAGGGGTTCTAAGATTATGAGTGGAAGAAAGTCCAGATGAGGGTGGTTAAGGAGAATGGTATTGGATGGGGGCTGGGTGGTGGATGGTGAGGTTACTGAAATAGTGTAGACGGAATTATCTGTACAGCCCAAGGTGTTTTAAGGTGTTTAAGGTCTGTGTCTTATTGATGGTGATAGTGGGTTAAATAAATAATACCGCCATGATAATCATAGGACAAATAATAAATAACAATATTTAGCCCAACATCTTTTTTTTTTTTTTTAACTGCAACACCGGTGCTGCTCTGAAAGTTCATGCTCAGGTTCTGTGCGGCTTCTTTTTAGTTCCCCTAGGAATTAAGTTAGGGAAGAGGCCATATGCATTTCTCTCTCTATGAGTGCCTCTCACTGTCCCCCACCCAAGGTGAGGTCTCCATGGGTATTTGTCTGAGTGGCAAGAACATGGTTTTCAGCCCAAGACAGTAAAGCCATCAGGTCCATCTAGTCCCATTCTAGCCTCTGACCCCTTTTAAACCAGAGGCATGGCTCCCTCATGCCTGAATAACAACAACTCCATCGCGTTTCTTTATTCCTGTGACTTTGTTTCTGTCTCCTGCACTTCAGGCACGGATGAAGCAGCAATCATTGAAGTCTTATCCAGCAGGACATCGGAGGAGAGGCAACAGATAAAGCAGAAGTACAAGGCGAAGTATGGCAAGGTATGCAGGGCTGTGCCTCCGACACATACCCTGGGAGGGAGGACAGTTAATGCCAGAATACGGCTTAAGAAAAGGCAAAGACTAACGTTACTATGCCAATTTAATACTTATAAATCAATAGTCCCTAACTCATTGTTTTTCAATTGACTTCATTTTGATATTGCATTTGCTCATTTTTCATTCAATTTGGACTAATTTCACATAATAACTTATAGAGCAGATAGTGATTTGAAAACCAATTCTCACAAGTGGAGCTTCATACAGATATGTGTGTATCTGGCTGTCTTTGAAGCCCATATTTTTTTCATAGATCACTGGTACAGAAAACTTTTAAAAATTACTTCCTTTTTGGGGGATGAAAATAGAATTACATCATTTCCCCCTTCCCTTTCTTCCCTCCAAACTCTCCCATAACTATCATTGCTTTCTTGCAAATTCATGGCCTCGTTTTTCACTGTTGTTGAAACATACACACATATGCATGTGCACAGACATACATATATGTGTGCATATATGTTTATAAATATATTCCTAAATACTTAGTGCAACCATTCAGTCTGTAGAATGTTACTTGTGTATGTGTTTTCAGGGCTGACTATTTGGTATTGGATAACCAACTGGTAGATTCTTCCCTGGGGAAGACTATTTCTCCCACTCCCAGCTTTTATCAGTTTCCTGTGGGGTTGAGGCTTACTTGAAATTACTTGAGGCTTAGCTGAACTTACGAGTTTCACTCATGCTAGCAAACCCTCTCTACCACTGAGCTGTGTCCCCACCCTTTTTTCTACTTTTATTTTGAGAAAGGATCTCCATGATTTGCCCAGGCTGACCTTAAATTTGAGATTGCCTCAATTCCCAATAGTGGGGGACCATAGCCCTGAGCCACTGGAGTTAATTACACAAGGTGAAAACCATTATGCTACATTCTCATTTGTATTGATAAAGGCTTCACAGTCATTTCTTTAGGCTCTGGTCTCCCCAGAGACAGAGTAAGGATGGCCACTCACTACCCTTCTTGGGTTTCAAACAGGATAATGCCAGCACAAACCAGTAAACAGATGTTACAACAGTCATGGCTGCTTCCGTTACAGACAGGAAAGACAGTGCTTATATGGTTTATATGTAAAAGCAATGTATCTACTGGGCTTTTTAAGAACTGTATATTTTCTTTCACGACTTAACACATACATCTTGAGTATAGCCAACCTAACTTCTACTTTTCCTGTACCATCCTCACACTTCCTCCTCCATATTTAACTTTTGTTGAAAAGTTAAGAAAAGAAAAGAAGAAAAAAACAGGACCCATACCCAAGGCTTCAGTAAGCAGGCCAACATCTACTCCCAGAAGACCAGTGCCAGCATGGAGTTGTTTACTTATATAACAAATGGTCAATGGCTGTGATGTTACACAGATTGTGTATGTGTGTGTTAATAATCAGGTTTGTCAATGTTATTTTTTGTGAAAACGAGTGAGTCTCCAGTTTGCCTGCATTGGGTTGCAGTGGAATTTCATCCATTTCTACATGCCTAACTCTAGCTAAGCATCCCCCCAACTTAATGTATTGCTAGCCCCCCAAAACAGAAGTCAGACACAAGATGTTGTAAACTCTTGTCCAAAACACAAGTAAATGTGGGCCTAGGGACTCGGCTAAAAAGTAAAGAGAAAATGTTCTAGCACAAAGTTCAGGAGACTTTCCTGTGCCAAGCATTCACTGATCTTCTGAGAGCTGAGACCACCAACAAGATGCGTAAAAATCTAGAGGAGGTCAAATGTTCAACTCCAAGTCCTCACATGAGAACAGCCATACCAAGGTACTGTGGCCAGTTTTCAGAGAAGCCAGCACACGGGTCCAGGTTTCCTGAGCCTGCTTCTTGGGCTCAGAAGCATATAAAATACCAAATTTGCTTTCACGCTCGTGGATCAAAAGATCGAACAGCTGGGAGTTCTCCGCAGTTCTAAACAACGCCAATATGACCTGAAAAAAACATGTCTAGGGACTCACACTGGATAGTTTTGAGAAAGGCCTGCCTTTTCAGGATATGGTGTTAGGTGAAGGGACAGTGAGGGACAGAGGCCTGATGTTACAGTCCCCTTTTAACACGGCACATCCCTTTATATAAAACCTGCCTTTTTCTCCCAAACCCAGTGCTCAGAGATCTCTCAGAGAAATAGCTAATTTGTGTTTTCTTAGAAAATTCTTTCCAGGGTGGAATAATAATATTCTTGCATACAATATGTTACCGTGAGTATTATTTGAGCATTGAAATGTGGACACTTCCAGCCACCATCCATTCTGCTCTGTGCTTCCTGTAGGATTTAGAGGAGGTGCTCAAGAGTGAACTGAGTGGAAACTTCGAGAAGACAGCCTTGGCCCTTCTGGACCGCCCCAATGAGTATGCGGCCAGGCAGCTGCAGAAAGCTATGAAGGGCATGGGCACCGATGAGGCAATGCTCATAGAGATCCTATGCACAAGAAGAAACGAGGTCAGTCACACTTGAGCCCTTGGTCCCAACCGCTGGGAGGACAGGTCATTCATGCATCAGAGATGGCTGAGCCCCACTGGAGGAGGCTAATCCCCTACATGGTATCCACGAATGGACAAGCTTCTGAACAGGAGCTTCCTGCTAACCTCACGCAGGAAGAACAGCTCTTTCAGTCCTCCAGAGGTCAATCTTCACGTCGCTGCCCCTGGCTTGACAGAAGAGCTAAGTCAGTCTAGGTTTTGTTTCTCTAACGAATACAATTTTCATACAGGAGGCAGAATTCTATTTTATCAGCTCCTGGTCTGCTGTGAATATCAATGAGTAGCAAGTATGTTTGAGTCACTGCCTCCCATGTGGCTGTTATCTAGCATAGAGCGGAAAGATTCAAAAGTGGACAACGGTGCTGGTACCAAGAATTCCAGGGAACAGTCCCCATGACCACTAGCATTTCCCTGAACAATTCTGTATTAGAAGTTTTTTGTTGATTTTCTTTGGGGCTTGGGCGTTTTGATGTTGCTGTTTGACCTCTTTCTTTCCTTCTTTCTTTTCCTTCCTTCCTTCCTTCCTTCCTTCCTTCCTTCCTTCCTTCCTTCCTTCCTTCCTTCCTTCCTTCCTTCCTTCCAGGCAGAGGTTCATGTAACCAAGACTGGCTTCAAATTCATTATGTAGCTAAGGGTGACCTTGAACTACTAATCCTCCTGCCTCTATCTCTGAGTGTTGGGATTATAGGCACACACTGCCAAAACCAGTTTTATGTGGTCCTGGAGATCAGACTGAGGTATTCATGCACATCAGACAAACACTCTACCAATTGAGGCACATCCTCAACCCTGATCCTGTGTCCTGTCATCAGGTCTCCCTGCTTAGCCCTTGAGAATGCACCACCATTTCAGAAGCTCCACATTTGCTAAGGTGCAGGCACAACCCAACTTGTCTTTGTTTCCCCAAGCCGGGAGGGCCGAGAGTAAGATCCACAGATCATTCTTACAGACCCGGACCCCTCCACAACCACCGGTCGGAGTGGAGAGGGGAGGCAAGAAGTGCTAGAAAAGCCCAACATTCTAAGGCTCCGGGGGTAGGGTGGGGTGAGGACGACAGAGACAGTGGGTAGAAGAGATAGCAAGGAAAATCTGAAGCGCCACCCTGCCACCATGCTTCCACAGAACGATGGTGCCCCTGGTGCTGGCCCCCTGCTTCCTCTGCTTGACCAAAACTCAGGCTCAGTCATGCCCCCACAGTGCCACCATGAACCAGACCACTGCAGCAATCTCCAGTCCTCTCAATCTCTAGGGTTAATAAAACCCCTCCACTTCTTTTTTCCTTTTTCAGTGCTGGGAACTGAACTCATACCAGGCAAATGCTCAACCAATGAGCCGAATCCCCAGCCTGTAGCCCTTCTATCTCAAGGCGATAGGGTAGAACCTCAGAGGAGAAGGAGCACAGACCCCATTTGAAGTCACTCCATTTTCTCCATTCATGCCCACCTTCCCAGAGATGCCAAGGGCCCTATAGTGGAGCATCCAATAAGAGCAAGCAGTACCTTAGCAGGATTCCTTTAAGATCCAAGCAACCAGCAAAGCTTTTCTTTCAAGTAAATAAACTTAGTGGGTTTAAAAAACAAAACAAAAAACACACACAGTGAGGGGGGGAAAGGCTGGGTTCAGACAGATTCCAGGGGTAGGTGAAAAAAAAAAAAAAAACCACAAAGGGGAGGAAAATGGGCCGCCCCTACCACCTGGCTGCCTTCCCTCCCCCATCACAGGCCACACCTGCTCCTCCCCGACTTTCCTTTAAACTTGCTTATGAGCAGTGGCACCGGGAAAAGCCTGTTCTTAATCACTGCTGGCTCAGCCGAAGGTTGAGACAGCTCTGAGGTGGGCGACCTGACACAGAGGATGTAAAAGTTCCTGCCAGGACTCATTCGAGAGGGCAACTTGCACTGCTGAGCCAGCAAGTTGTTCAGCGCGTAGGCAAACCGGAAACGACCTGATGCCGCCCCCCCCCCCCCCCCCCCCCCCGCGCCCTAACCCCACCCCGGGTGGCGCAACCGGGCACCCCCCCCCCCCCCCCCCCCCCCCCACCACCGTGGGAGGCTAGCTAAATCAACTGTGGCTTTAGAACGCGGCGCTTTCCATCCCTTCCAAAAACACATTTGATGGTCTAGGTTAGAAAAGGGCTGGCTCTCCGAGACAACGTGGAGTTAAAAATAAGCCACAAAGCAGTAAATGCTGTTCCCCACTGTCTAAAGGTAGGACGCACACAGAATAGTTCTAGACGCTCTTTGCCAAGATTCCTTTCCTGGGGGAGATGTAAACAATCTCTTCCCCTACGGTCCCCATGACAAACCAAGTACAGTTCCACAAAATTCACTCTGGGGAACCGGTGAGTTTATTGGGCTTGCTTAGAGGGCAGTCAGCGAGGGTTTACGGGCAGGAGTGTGGGGGGCCTTAAAGCAGTCACACTGGAAGGTCTATACCAGGCCTGGATGCCCCCCCCACCCCACCCATGGTTATGTAGATGCAGCTCCCTTCCCTAGCCCCGCTCAGCTGTGATGGCCTTTTTCAAGTGGGTGGTTGACCTTCGGCTTGGAGGATAAGTCAGCCTATGTATGGTATACAGGACACCAGTAGACACCTGTGAGATGCACACGGGGCATGAGGGAATGGGACTGGGTTACAAGATAGGGCAAAACATCAGCTATTAGCCCAGCTATGATACTTCTGCCTTTCTGTTTTCTTATTGACATGTCATTTTTGTAGCTATGTCCGGGCGAAATATTTTGATACATGTAAAGTGTCATGGTCAAGTCTGAATAACTGTTGAATCCCATTCACCTTAAATATTTGTCATGCCTTTATGGTGAGAGCCCTCAGGATCCTCTCTTCTAGCCACGCTGAAACACACAAGATATTCTTGTTTACTTCAATCGTCCTGCTGTGCATACTAGGACTCCTCACTGTAGAGCAGTTACTTTTCCATTGCTGTGATAAAATGCCATGGCTAAGAGCGACCCAGAGCAGGATGGGGCTATTGTGATTTATGGTTGTGGGATGGGGGTAGGGGTGGATAAAAGCCCATGATGGCCAGAAGGCATGGCAGCACAAACAGGAAGCTGAGAGGTCACGTCTTCAACTGCAAACTTGAAGCAGTATAGAGTGAGGCTGTAATCCTCAAACCCCCCTGCCAGTGACATAATCCCCCGCCCCCATCCTATAAAGCTGTACCTTCCCACAACCTCCACACATGGAACCAGCCACTGAGGACCAAGTTTTTAAATGCCTGAGTCGCGGGGGGACATTTCTCATCTGAACCACCACACTGTATCTCAGTACCACTGGCTCCTCCCCCACCTCTACTCTTTCCAGCCTTTTGTAACCACCATTCTACTTTCCATGACTATGAGGTTAACTTTTTGTTTATACTCCAGAAATGAGTGAGTTCACAGGGTTCATGACTTTCTGTCTAGATGATTTCATTCATTCAGGATCAACCATGTTGCCACAGATGACAGAATTTCTTTCTTTTTCTCAGTGAATAGTGTCCCATTGTATAAATATACTGTATTGTCTTCATTTGTCTGGTGACAGATCCCCAAACCTGGAGACTGTATGCGTACACTACTTACATGTTTGAAATGCTTACACAGAGAGAGCCATTGTACACTAGCACATGAGACAGTCATCTTAAGAGAAAGCCACAGAGGCCTCCTGCATCTGAAAATAGACTTCTGCCCCATCTCCCTATTTCCTATTGACTCCCAACTTAGACACTAATTGTTTCAATCACCTTCCTAGGAAATCGTCGCCATCAAAGAAGCTTACCAAAGGCGTAAGTAGCTTTTGTTCTGGTTTTGGATTGAGTATGTTGCTTTTGAAATACCACTAGGAACTTAGTCATCCACTTTCTTCCCCTTTCTCTTCCTCAAAAGTATTTGGCAAGAGTCTGGAATCTGATGTCAAAGATGATACAAGTGGAAACCTAAGAAAAATCCTGGTGTCCATGCTACAGGTAAGAAACGGCAGGCTTTGCCTGCTCCATGATCTTAGGAACGGATGCTTGACAGTGTGCTACGGTCACCAAAAACAGGGTAAAGGAGAGAAGTATATACTTAAAATACCAGAGAAGGGGTCAGGGGTGCAGCTCAGTTGGTAGATTGCTTATCTAGTATGGAGGAAGCCCTGAGTTCAATCCCCAGCACCATGTAAACTGGGAGTGATGGTTCACATTGGTGATCCCAGTACTTTAGAGGTAGAGACAGGAGGATAGGAAGTTCAAGGCTATCCTTGGCTACGTATCAAGTCTGAGGGTCACCTGAGCTATCCAAGCACATGTCTCAAAAATGAAACGTGAGAACAAACAAACAGTGTTAGGGAGAGCCAGGCAACCATTGCTCTGCCATCTCAGTAACTGGGAAACTATGACTCCTTCAGCACTCCAACCTACTGCTTCCAGGTTACAACCCCTTCAGCTGATTTCTGTCATTGAAACTCAGACCCCAGGGCAGCAGAGCCAGTGTGACACAACCCAGGAGCGAGAGCCATCTGATCCCAAGCAGACCTCTTTTCATACACAACCCAGCTCGCTTACAGGCTATAGCTAAAGTCTAGAACTGTGGGAACCACAAGATCTCAGACTGGAGAGTGGGTCTCCTAAGATCTGGCCCTCTGTGACATAGGTCCTAGGGCTCTGCACAGATGGCATCCAGTTCTCACTGACAGACACCTGTCCGTTCTCCCCAGTTCACTTCTCCCACTTGGGCACACTGACAGCAGAGGATATGAGTGTGTAGATTTCAGCCACAAAGGGAAGAGTCTTCTGTTTAACTGTCCCAAACATAACTCAATGCATCATGGCTCACTATCCATCAGTGTTCATGGGCCAAGGGTCCAGGCATCTGTTAGCTAAGTCCTTCACGAAGCCTCTCACCAGGGTGAAACAAACTTGTCTGTATGTCAGCCACCCAAGGCTCAAGGAGAATTCATTTCCTTGGGGCCCTCTGCCTGATGTGACTGTTTTCTTGCTAGCTGTTACCCAGAGACCATTAGGAGTCCCCAGGGCTTTCTCCATATCCCTACTGCATGCCCCTCCACCCTTGCCACCACCAGGACAGCTTATAGTCAGGCTGCCTGCTGTCTCCAAGGCCAGCAGCAAGAGTTCCTCCAGGACTTCCACTTCTGATCTCTAAGAACTCTCATCTGATTGGGCCAGGGGCCACCCAGGATAGTTTCCCTTTAGATTTCATTTGCCTGATTAGAGGCCTGGATTACATCTGCAAAACTCCCCAATGCCATCTGACATGATATCATTGTGAGGCCTCACCCAAGAAAAGGGGGTTATACCAGGGACCTGGTCACAGGGTCATTTCAGCACTCTGCCACCCACCCAGGGCTTTCCTTAGGCTCCCATAGTCTTCCACAACCAACTTTCAAAGTTCTCTGGTATTGGCCACTGAATAGTGACATTTTGTATTTGAGGAAGAATACTTGCTTCCTAGTGAATTCCAGGTTTCTATTAGCTCTCACTGAAGACTGTGGATTTGATGAGTGACAACTGTGGGGTGGAAGAGGGAGCATGAATCACAGAAATTACACTGTTTTCAGTCTTTCCCAAAAGATGGCAGCAAAGAGCAGGCCTTGCCACTCTGCCAGGCTGAGCTGCGCTTCAGCCACACACACACACAACCCCCCCACAAACACATGCCCCTTCCACTGACCCTTTTCCCCAGTCATCCCTGTATCACAGGGCTCATTCAGCTTTTCTGTGACCAATCAGGTACTTGAGTTAATGGCAATACGGTCAATCTTTGTAGGCCACTCGTGATGCAGAAGATACTGTGGACAAAGACCTGGCTGGTCGGGATGCCAAAGATTTGTATGATGTAAGTGTTTCGTGCGCCTGGCTCCACACATTCTTTTGGTTTCTGACTTACTAACATTGCGCTAACAAGCATTTCTTTGTTTCATGCAACTGAGAGTTACTTTGGAATGAAATACGTCCTTTGATAAATAAACACGTGCTACAGTCTGCATAGATCATATTATAAAGCCTTTGTTCCCATTCTTAGACTCTGGGGTTAGCCACCTCAGATCCATGTTGGATCACAGGATGGTATAAATAATAATACAGGCAGACACGGCACATATACTGTGGGCTAGGAGCTCTAAGTGCTCCATATACCCACTTGACTTCTAATGCATGCGTGTTTGTACGTCTCTGTAAGCGAGGCCCATTCATGGTCTTACGGGTTCTCTCGGCCCTTGCCTTCTTAAAGGGAAAAAAAAATTAAGCTGAAAGGCAGAGATAGTTTAAACAGACGTTTATTAGCAAGGAAAAACGCTTCAAAGAGAGATTGGAATGGGATTCCAAATAAGAGTGCCCCCTCCTCAAATACCCCAAGTGGAGTCTATATTATAGGTTTTAGGGTGTTTGTGCATATTCATGAGGTGGGTGGCAGAAGCAGAGTAAGGTGACCCCTTGTCTCTCATGGTGGACCAGATCTCTATTTGAGGATATTTCCTCCCACGAACCTCTAGAAAAGCCCACAAGGTAAAGAGTCAAAACCGCAATGGAAGTGAGATTGTAATAACATCAGGGGCTTTTGAGGATACGGGCCTTTACTTGGTGTTCGTGTGCAGAGTAGGGAAGGTTCCCTCTCACTGGTTTCTGATATACTGGGAGCAACCTCACTATAGACTCAAGGACATTTAACCACAAAGGGACATTCTGGCGGTCAGAAGACATAGCTACCATGACAGTTGTAGTTTCGTACATTGCAGTGTATCTAACTTCTTGCCTACCAATGTCAACAGCAGTTGTGTTCGGTCTTTTTGGTATGAGCTCTTTTCACGGTGTTTGCACTTGGCCCCTAAGGCAGGCGAAGGGCGCTGGGGTACCGATGAGCTTGCCTTCACTGAAGTCCTGACCAAGAGGAGCTACAAGCAGTTGCGTGCCACCTTTGAAGCCTATCAGATTGTAAGTTGTGAAGCCCAGAGGCTCGAGGGCTCCTTCTGACAGCACCCTGAGCTGTTTCTAATGGAAACCGAGATCTGGGATGTGGAACTGAGTTTTGAGGACGGGATTTACATCAGTGGTTCTCAATGTCAGGAAAAGGGAGGCCGAGGACACACAGACACACAGACACACACACACACACACACACATACACACACACACACACACATACACACACACACACACAGAACAGCCTGATTGTGCAGATCTGACCATCCTCAAATGCAGGACTGAGGCTGGGACGCTCCTGGTTACAGCACAGCTAGGGTAGCAAAGAAGTGTCATGTTTAGGAGCAAAGATGGACACACAGAGGGTCCAGGGGCAAATCCTGGATGTACTGATGGTGAATGAGTACCCTCCTCCTCTTTCTGTGAGCCAGACACCAGGGCATCATTACCTCTCAGACAGTCATCGTAGGCGTGAGGTCAGGGGCAGGCTCAGAATGCCATCCGGCATGTGGCAAGCATACTCGTGTTTTTTGCTTTTGCTTTTATGATTGCGATTTACCGTCTTACAGGACAGGTGTGCTATGCCTCAGAGAAAGGCTCCTGAGGAAAACGCATAAATTATGTTTCTAGTCTCACGACCGCCGTGAGGCAACAAAATGAGCTGGCTATTTCAAGGTACTTCGTGATAAGTCCCTTTCTGAGAGAAAATCATTAATCTGCAAAAAAGCCTACAGGGAGTTTCGGATTTCTTTTTGTCTTCTGTTTTGTTTTTTTGGAGAATGCTTTTACCTCTTCAAAACATTTCTAGGCCCAGTCCTTGATTTCAGTTTCACAACAATATCCTAACTATCATGTGGGCTGAACAGCTGTTTTATGGTGGCCCTCAACTGCAGGACAAGGCCAGTCTGCAGAGTAAGGAGCCACCTGTAACTTATCAGGACCACACAGCAGGACCACAGTAGCAGAAGGGGACGAGAGCGCCAGGACTCGCCAGTTGAGTTCCTACCTCAGCTGGGGCTGGCTGCGCCTCACTCAAAATAGCCTCTCATGTGTGCTGCCAGCAGATGAAAAGACAAAGCCTGGGAACTGTATCCTTACTGTACGCAAGTCTTAAGGGCCCTGCTTTCAAACCGTGCCCAATGTCATGATCAAAGGCAGCTGCCCCCAGCCTCTTCATTCTCCACGCCTGAAGCCCGTGGCCGCTGACCTGGAGGACTTATCTGTGATCTACGTTCTCTTTCCATGTCACGAGGGCCACCAATGGTGTTCTGAGGATGGTTGACATCAGTGATCACTACAGAAACACACACACACAGACACACACACACACACACACACACACACACACTTCATGAACTAGTGGCTACCTCAGTAAAGTAGTGAAAACAAGCTACAAGGATCTAGGCCATTATGGCAAAGTTTGTCTCTGAACAGCAGCATCATAGTCACTTGAGAACCCATCAAAATAAACATTCTCAGTCCTCTCCTTGGCCCTGCTGGACCACCTTTCCTCAGGTTGAGGTCTTGATTCTGGTGTGTGATAAAGTTTGAGAAGTCAGCTCCAGGCTTAACCTTGGACAGGTTGCTGGGGCTCTGTGCCTTGGTTTCCCCCGCTGTAACAGAGGGTTAATAACATCTACAGAACTAGGTCTCATTAGGTAGGATGAGCAAGGATCCCATGAAGGAACCAAAGCAAGCAGTCAGCATGTGGCCTGTGGAGGGGTTCGATTACCCCAGCAACTGTTTCCCTCAGGGGCAACGGACAAGTTAGGGAAGCATGTGATTTCAGGATCATTCATAGGAAAGAGGCTCTAAATCAGCTCCCAGAGCATTTCCGGGCTGCTGCTGATCTGTACTGTTAGTTTTTTTTAAGAGCTGACCCTGCTCTTAGAGACCGGCCTCCCCCTGCCCCCCCTCCCCGTCAGGTTTTCACAGTCACTGGCCAACAGCACAAAGACTCCAGTGTGGCATCACTGGAGTGTTGTGTGTTGCGCCATCCTGGAACAGAGGTGAATTTCATTTTTGGCACTACGCCTCAGGGGGTTGCCCTTTCTATGGCCCCTCTAAGTCCAAGTCTTAAGTTCTGACTCACCCCAGATCAACTCCAGATCAGGCAACAGAACCTCAAACTGCCACATCACGAAAAATGATCATGGTCCTGATTTTATTAAGCACAAAAGACTGACACAGTTATGGGGCCAAAGTGAGTTCTGCAAGTGGGGATCAGCGAGAACAGCACAAGCACATACCCACAGCCACCTCCACATCATGGGCACCACTGCCCAGCATCAGGAACAGCATGGCATATATATCTCCCTAAGTCCCTGCAAGGGGCTTGGCCCTTTCACTGCTGGCATGCTGTCAATTTGGGGGAATAGTGCCCTGTTCTTCCTGTAAGCTCCGCTCAGGCGCTGTAGCACATTTATCTGGTCTCTGATATTAGTTTGGCCCAAAGATCACCTTGAGAACCAGGTATTTCAAGAGCTGAAATGAAGAGTTTGCGAAGGAGGGTCCCGATAGCACAGTCCAGCTCACTGTCTTCAGACTGTGTTCATGGAGTCCATGCTGACCCCTAGGCAGCTGGGGTGAGGCAGAAAGAGAGAAGACATTTATATGAATATCTCCCCCTAGAGGTACATAAGGAAGATCCCCCTAGACAACAGAGCATGGTATCTATGCTTAGAGGCAGGTACGGAGCCCACCTCCTGCTCCTCAGAAACACACTTGTCCATTTTTTGTCTGCTTTGGAGGCTGAGAATCACAGAAAATTGAAAGCCACTGTTCTGGCTCAGTCCTAACAATACAAACAAAAAGTAGTTTAATGGGGGGGAGGGTTCCTGTCTTGTATTACTATTATTATTATTATTATTATTATTATTATTATTATTATTATTATTGGTTGGCTCTTTTTTTTCTTTTTCTTTTTTTTAAACCCAGACCTGTGTGAACAAAACATCCTCATGAAATACAATCTCAATCTGCACAACAAAGAGCCCAGGTTCTGGGGAAGTGATACCCATCCCTTCCAAAGCACTGACTCCCACATCAAACCCCAGAAAGGTGGCTGCAGCTCAGGAAGGGGGAGCATGAAAGCTCTTGTTTCCTTGGGATCTGGTGTCCTCCGGCACAAAAGACTTCCAGACATGTGAATGGAGAGAAGGACCTTTGTCATTCCCCTCACCCCTGGCGTGCGCGCGCGCACACACACACACACACACACACACACACACACACACATTGTCCTTACACCACAAAGAATGTTTGTTTGCCTTTGTTTTTCTGATAAAAGCCCCAAACTCTGCTAGTATGTACTCAAATGTCTCAATTATTTTGAGGATCAATTATGTCCTGTCCTCAAAGACAATTTCTAAGAAAGACAAAACCCTCAAAGCCAGCACCTCCTTTCTCTCTATTTGCCTTCCCTGAGCTTGGTCCCAGAACTGTTTGTGTTAAGGGTAGGCATAATTTACTTTAACTTTAGTTTCTGTAAATATTTGGAAAGAAACCTAATGTATAATACTGTGCCAAGCGACGTGAGCCGTGGTGAATGTATGAGACCATTAGCAGTCACCCAGCATTAAAGGGAAGTGACATTTTGATGTGGTCAGGCCCTGGCTTCCAGCCATTGAACCCCCACTCTTTCATGAAGCGTTAGAACAAGTTTCATCATGAACTGCACAGCCCCTCCTCACTTTACCCAAACTGTAAGTGATTGAGTCTTCAGTCCCAACACAGGTGAGAAGAGGGAGATCCAGGCCAGAGTTCCAGCCACAGCCTCCCAAGAACTTGCAATGGAGAAGGCGGAAAACATTTTGGAAACTAAGATGCTATATAATATAAAGTATTATTGCAGGCTGGGGATATGGCTCAGTAGGTGAGGGTGCTTGATGAGTGAGCATGAGAACCGACATTTGAGTTTCATACCCATGCAAAAAGCCACCAAGACTGGCCACAGGTGCCTGTCACCTCAGAGCTATGGCAGGGGAACCAGTCCTCCTCCACTGGCCTCTCTATACACACTATCTGTGAATAGGTGTACTCTCTTTCTCTCTCTCTCTCTCTCTCTCTCTCTCTCTCTCTCTCTCTCCTCACCCTCCCCTCTCTCTCTTTCACACACACACATACACACACACACACACACACAGTACATATACAAGCAAAAAATATTGTTGTGGTATATATCCATCATCCCTCCCCTTCCTAATTTTACAAATGAGAAAATGGAAGCTAAAGAAATGGCATTGACTTGGGTCAACTTGGTCAACTCCTCAGCAGTGAGAATTCCCTCTTGAATGGGGGTAGTGGGACAACCATCCCACCTCGAAATGCAAGAGGCAGGAGAGGTTGTGCCCTTAGGGTCACAGCACTAAATCTAGCACCATTTCTGAAGGAAGCTGAAGGCTAACTGCAAACCCTGCAGTAATCACTGGGCTTTGTCTGTCTCTCTCTCCAGCTCATTGGCAAAGATATGGAAGAAGCCATTGAAGAAGAGACATCAGGAGACTTGAAGAAGGCCTATTTAACTTTAGGTAAAGCAAAACTTGGAGAGTGCTGCCCCAGGGTGGGATATGAGGGTCTCCTGACTGGAGTCATTTCGGAAGCACCACATCTAAGCAGCAATGGGCAAGGCAGAAGGTAGACACGATGCAGCTTTTGTTCTCCAGGGAGCCTGAGGGTGGGGGTGTCCGAAGTGAAGCAAGGAGGCAAGTCTCTGCACTCTGTTAATGACTGCACACCAACCAGTCACTGGGACAGGCTGTACCCCAGGACCATTTGCAACACTGAGCTCTCTCACTTGGGAGGTGACTTCTGAAAAGGAAACCCACTGTTAGCAGTCAGCAAGGAACCCTGCCACTGAGTGCCTGATCCTAAAGCGAGCATATAAGTGAGGTCTGTCAAAGTGTCTCCTGTGATAGCACTAAGGATATGAAAAGTCCCTGAAACCCTCTGTCCAAAGCCTGGGACTCTTATCTAAGCACAGGTAGCAGCATGTGGTTTATATGACACACACTGAAACGCACCCACAGTTAGGACCTATCAACAAGTTTCTGCAAGTGCCTGATGGCCAGGGGGTTTCCTTTTCCACTGGATTCCCTTCAGTGTTCCCAAAGAATGCGGTCTGTTTAGAAACAGAGGGGAGGGATGCTAGATCTTGGCCATCCCCAGGACCTTCTCTTCAGGTGTTGCCCAAAAGCAGGAAATAGCAGAGAGATGGGCATGGGGCCATGTCTGGCATGCTCCCTTTCCCTTTCTGCAAGTCCTGGAATGAAGGCATTGTCCATTGTCCACATTGCTATGGTAGGGAGTCCAGGAAGCCATCGCAAGTAGCACAGGAATGGAGAGACGTGTCCCCCAGAAAAAGAACCAAACAAACAGCTCTGGAACCTAAAAAATGTACTCCCATGCCAAACTCCTTTGTGGAGTTCTGAGGATGTTTTGTACTCATAGTTTCATTCTAAACAATATCAGCAGTTGACCTTTTTTTTCCTATCTATTTTCATTTTACATTCAAAGTAGCAGAGATCAAATAGCTGTATGGACTCTAAACGTTACCCACACCCCACAACCCACACTGAGCCCTGTGTGGACAGCTGTCCTCTGGGCTTCACAAAGGATCTACCCAATGACGTGTTCTGAGGGTCCAGAGCTTTCCTTTTATCGTGACGTGAGAACCAAGAAAACCCCAGAGCACAGTCCAAAGATACCAGCGGCACCATTTGGTGACAGTGTCTGCCTCCTGGCACCTGCCTAGCCTAGAGTTCTCAGTGTGGGATCAGAGGCCTAGAAGACCCAGTTCTTACTTATAAGAAGCTGAACATCCACAAAGAACACACACACTAAAGACAGGAAACAGTAAGAATGGTAAAGAGGAAGGAAAAAGCCACCCCCTGGAATTGGGACCTGTGAGCCACAGGAGCTGATGGGCTCAAGGTTCCAAAAGTAAAGAAAAAACCGTGAGGGTCAGCCTCAAGAAGACATGGCTTCCCAGGTGTTCTCTAGACACCACCAACTCTACTCCACTTGCCTTGCAAAGACATCACTTAACCACTTCGATCTACAGGGGCTTAGATCACGTGATCGCTACTGTGAACATTTTTTCAATGGGGCCCATGAGCCACCTTCCTCAAAAATCTCCTATTAGGAAGGTTTCCTGGGCCAGCCCCAGGCTCACCACAGAGAAAGAGGTGGGACTGGGCCTGTCGAAAACACCTGGTGATGCTTTTGTGCTCAGTAAAGCTTGCAGAGCCCCAGTCCTTGAAGGCAAGAGGATCAAGGTAGGGTGCGCCACAGCTGATGTTGCTTCTGCTCAACATAAACAGTTTTACTGCAGATATCCCCCAGCTGGCCTGGTCTAACCTTTTGAGGGATTCCTGCTACGTGCTCCTAACAGAGAGGTGGCCTTTGGACATCCATTGGTGCTGTGTGGCGCAGGAAAACTTTGTGGGTGCCAGCAGCTCAAAGGGTGTGGAGACACCAGTGAGTCTCAAGCATGCACTTGTCAAAGTAGCACGGGGTTTCCTACGCACCTCAAATCAGGAATTTGGGCACACAGACACCAGACACCTAGCCCTCAAGTTTTCCACTAAACTTGGGAGGCTACTGTATGGCCTGAGAGAAAAAAAAAGGAGATTGGCTCCTGACCTAGGTTCTGCTCCTCTCCCTTGCTCAGAAACATCAACCCCACAGATAGTGACCGAGGGTATGAAGCCCCTGCTCCCAGAACAGACAAAAGTTCACATTGCACACTTATATTGACTTCATTACTATTATTAACATTGAAAATTTGCTGTGATTCTAGCACTCCCCACCTGAGGCAAGAGGATTGCTTCAGTTTGAGGGTAGCCTGGGCTATAGAGTGAAACCCTATCTCAAAACAAAGCCCCAATTTAAAAAACCAAAACCAAAACCAAAATACCGGTAAGCTTTCTAGAAATTTTTTTTCTAGAAAAATGTCAACAACCTCAAGAGTAAATGGTTCATTCCTCTTAAGCACTTGTAGTAGTAGGGGCCTAGGAACCTGTGAGGAGGGGCAGGAAATGCAAGCCTTCCCTCCCGGGGTAGAGGTGCACCCAGTTGCCTGGTTGATGAGCAAACACTAAGCCTCATCAGTTTATAAACAGGCAGGCAGAGGGACGGACAGAAAGGAGCTCACAGCACCAACGCAGAAAGGGGACCGGTAGTGGGAGGGGCAAACATCTTTGTCTCACGTACCAAATGAAGGATGCGAGGATCCGCGGATGGTAAAACAGAAGACACCCAAACAGTTGCTGTAAGGAAAACAAAGGGTGTGTGGCTTGCTGAACGCAAGAAAGCAGGATGTGGTGCAGCCGAGCAAACCTTCTGGACATGAGGTTCTCTCACGGAAGGCTGCTGACCAAGCTGCGTTCCCACAGAGCCCCAATCGAGCCCAGAGGTTCCACCGTGTAGCACCAGCTATGTCCATGAGTGAGACTCCAGACCTCCACAGTATGAGCGTGAGGAGGGCCCATGCTCCTTCCCCAGGGCTTACAGAGAATAGAGGCCATTCTCCTCATTCTGCAGTGATTTTGACTCAGCTCTAGCTGAAGAGCCCTGCTCTGCTGACCCAGGGAACCTTCTAGATATCATTTCACAACAGTAAAGAGTCATATCCTTCCAAAACGCTTCCCGTCGAGTCCAGAAGTCCCGTGGGGGAGAGGGGACACTCTGTGCCTATGCAGGATCTCCGTGCTGTTCACCAAACCACGAGAACATTTCACATCCTCCTTTCCCCTCCCTCCCAGTGAGATGTGCCCGGGACCTCGAGGGCTATTTTGCTGACCTACTGTACAAGTCCATGAAGGGTGTGGGGACAGACGAGGAGACGTTAATTCGCATCATTGTGACCAGGGCTGAGGTAAGACACTTGACTCCAGAAAAAGGGCTTCAAGGTCTTTTTCCCCAACTGATGTCATTGGCTGTTGTTGTTGTTGTTATTATTATTATTATTATTATTATTATACTATTTCTCTAGAATGTAAGACAAAGACAGCCCTTCCCTTCCCAGAATATGCAGAACACATTGGACTCTGCTTCGGTCTTCTCCTTTTTATTAAAATACAATACCGAGAGCTGCTTCTATTTCTGTCATCTGTGGCTCCAGAGAGCTGGTGGCACTCTGCAAAGAGGAACTGGTGGAGCTGTTCCAAGGTAGCACAGCTACACTCAGCTCTATTTTAAGGAAGACAAACCAGAGACATGAAAAGGGGTCACCCTGCAACAAGGCAGAGACAATACACAAATAATTTCCTCACTCTCTTATTGAAGGAAGCATACCTTACATGTTTTTTTCAGAAAAACAAAACAAATAACACCAGCCCCCCATGCACACACACACAAAAAAAAATCAACAAAACAGTTTCTTGGGAGTTTTTTCAATACTGACCCTCTCAACAAGCCATGTTAGACACACTTTTGTCTAATTATCATTGCTCCCCATCTGTTTAACAGAACAGATAATACTGAATATGTTTATGCACTACACGAATAATAATGCTTCATATATAAAAATGTGGAGCTTCTTTTGTTCCTGAGGACCAGCTTGCACCCCATCTCAGAGAAGAATGTGAGTGTTAGGGAGAGGAGGGAAGGAGTGGCCAAAACCTTGGAAGCAACCACCAAGCTTTACAAAGAACGCCTTGGGCTGTCAGGCCACAGTCAGAAGGGGATGTGAAATAAAAGGGATTGAGGCAAGCATGTTACTGCAGTGGCAGAAGCCTTGGAGAATGAAGGGAGCTAAGCAGCAAAAAACCACAGACATCTTTAAAAAAAAAAAAAAAAAAAAAAAGTTCGGTAGAGAGGGAGAGGTATCAACCCAAATTCTGACCCATGCCTTTCGACAAACACTTAACATCTGACGTTGTTTTTAAATATAGCTTCACAGCAAGGCAGTTCTTTCGTTTTTATTTCTGTTCCTGGAATTTTTCCTCCTCCTCTCTGCCCCCTCCCCCTTGAGCAGCCTCTTTGCCCCTGGAGCTGGTATTCTCTCCTCTGTTCTGAGCCTCTCACCCTTCCTTCAGGGGCCTTGCCTTCTTTGTCTCTCCAGCTCTCAGCAACACAGCCTCTAGCTCCAGAGAGATCTCAAGAGGAGCAGGGTTCTATAGACCCCCCAAGAGAGACTGGATTCCACCAGAAGGCTTGTCAGCGTTCTGTGTTCACTTGGATATAGAACACAGGATGTTCAGTTCCATCTCAGAAGGGACCACATGTGAGTGGGGTTAATTTCCACATGTGGTCAGTCTCTTTGGAGTGTTTCAAGCCCAGGCACATATATCTTTAAGGGATCCTCTAATCTTCCACATGCACCAGGACAAAATGCCAGCTCCCCCAATCCTGAACTCCATGATCCCGCCCCTCCCCCAGGACTGGCATCCAGCAAGGCAGTGGACACACAAGCAAGGCAGCAGGCGTACTCACAGCATCTTCCCTCCAGGAGTCTCTGGCTTGAGAGCAGCACTGGCTTCAAACAACTCCTCACGCCCCCACCCTCTCCTACCTTTCCTTCTCTCTCTCTTTCTCTCAGCATCGCCTCTCATTGATGCACAAAGAAGGGGAACCAGATGCTTGTCTATGATGTCTAGGCCTGGTGGGTAAGGCAGAGTTCAAACCAAAACCAAAACACAGCAAGCAAAACATTGTTTCTTTGTAAGACTTGTTTAGTCCTGTCTGAAATTACCCCCGCCCCAGCTCTCCACTTTATAGCTGAAAGAATCTGAAACAGAACAATGTTTTGACTGTTTTCTTCTTGCTCTTCCTTCAGCCCCTGGCTTCTTAAGCTTTCTATGAATTAGCCCCTACATAAGTTCTACAAATGGTGACAAGTTTGAAATGTGTTAACTGGAACTATTATCCTTCCTGATGCGCTACAAGGAAGCAATCCATCATTTCTTCTTTTTTATTATTATTTATTTAATGTGTGTGGGTGTTTTGCCTGTATGTATGTCCCTGCAACACGTGTGCCTGGTATCCAGGAAGGCCAGAGAAAGTATTAGATACCTCAGAACTGGAATTATAGGTGGCTGTGAGCTGCCGTGTGGGTGCTGGGAATCAAACCTGGGTCCTCTAGAAGGGCAGCCATTGTGTTGAATGGCTGAGCCATCCCTCCAGGCAGCAATGCTTTATTTAAAAGCTCCACCTAGAGAATCATCTCACCCTTTCACCAAATACTGTCAGACTGACTCGGAAAGCAAATGTGGCCACCACCTACCTGCTTGTGTACATGCTCTGCTCCCCAAGAATGACTCATTTTCAAATACCTATAAAACATTCAAAAGAAAAATACTTTGTAAAACATGAAAATATATGCAATTTAATTTTAACCTCCATAAATAAAATCTTAACAAACTATGTGTGTGCGTGGTGTGTGCGTGTGTGAGTGTGTACACACACATGAAGAAGACACTTGTACTTTTAGGGAGCTAAAGCAGGCTTTTCTTCTCTTATCCTCAAAGTGGAAACAATGCCCACCCAGCCCCAAAGGGCTGTTTAAAGACATAATAAATGAATACAGTGGCGTAGGAAAGTGTCTGCCATTTACAGCAAACACACCATCAATGCTGTCACCCATGCTGCTGTCATTGTTCCCGCAGGTGGACCTTCCTAGAATAAAAGCCAAGTTCCAGGAGAAGTATCAGAAGTCTCTCTCTGACATGGTTCGCTCAGACACCTCTGGAGACTTCCAGAAACTGTTGGTAGCTCTCTTGCACTGATCCAGGCCTGAGCAATGGCAGCGTGGGGAGAAGCCGCCTCATCAGGATTCTTCAACATAACAAATCAAATTTCCAAATGGGAGAACGCCTTCACCTGCTGGATCAACTGCTCATCAGCGTTGGTGCCCCTAGGCCAAGCTGTTGAAGTCAAAAGCAGCATCCTCCAAATGCTCCAGCAGTTCACCTTGAATGCTAGCTTGGCAAGAACCTAAAGTGCCTCCCAGCCTTCCTTGAGCATTTTGAGTGGATGCTTTCTAAGCACAAGTGAAATCAACAGCTGGTGGGGAGAAAAACCTGAACATTCATAATAAAATGTTTAGAAAATTATGTGCCTCCCAGATGTATATACCCAAAGCAGAGATTAAATGGCTAAAGCGTAGTAAAGGCAAGATTAAACAGTTTGTTCATTTCTCTTCTGTGTGTTCAGTTTCAAAGCCTTTCTGTTAATTACAGTTATGGTTTGTGCCTCCATCAGCTGCTTTTCCAAATTGGCTTGATGAACTTGGGTTCTTTCCTGGGAAATAGGGAACTCTTGAAATCCAAATGTACTGAGGGATTACAAACATTGATTAGCAATCACCAGGATTGGCAGTCAAGGCCAGCATCGAGGAAAGAGAGGATCTGCTTATGGAAATGTGACCAGATGTAAAAATCACTAACTGTTCCTGGTTCAGTGTGATTTTCTCGCTTCTCTAGACAAGTAGCTCACTTGAGTCTTTCTTCTGATCTTCAAATATAATGAGGCCAAGCAGAGTACCAATGGGAACATGGTCAATGCTCTGCCCTCCAGTGGATTGATTCTGCAATTAGAGAATCTCTGTTCCAAGATGCTGGTCTTGTAGCCGAATGGAGCCACTCAGAGACTGTGAGGATAACTTGGATACCTCGGGCAAGCTGTCCTAGCTATCCTGTCCTGGATGAGATCTGTGCCTGGCTCAGTACCACAATGTCATACTTAATCCATAACCCTATGAGGTTAGTATGACTTCCACTTATGAGTTGAAGAAACATTAAATAACCTGTCTAAAACCTTTTTGTAAGCAACAGAATTGGGCTTCATATGCCAAGCTGGATGACTACAGAAATCACACTACCGACCAAGTTTCTCAGAAAAATAACTTGAAGGACCTGTGTGAGAATGAGTCGGTAGCCATTCAGCGCTCATTTGTCTATCTTCCACTTACCATGGTGGGCTCCAGTGACACAAAAGTAAGTAGAACATGGGCGATTCTAATGCAGTGTCTTTCCGAGCCAGTATTGAAAGCAGATGTCTCCATTAGCACACAGGATGCTGTAGGTACACTAAGAATAGCAGATAGGCCAAAGCACAGAGAATAGGTATCTACGGAGTGCTCAGACAAACGGGGCATCTATGTCACACATCCTCCCTTCAAGGCTCAGAGAACATGCCAGACAGAGATATGGGAAGCTTGTAAGTGCCACTGATGCAAAACAGTGTCTTCCAAATACGACACAACACTGCACTCGGGAACTCATAGCAGGTGTAGCTGTCTGCGTACTATCTGCTCATGATCAAGGCCGTCGGTATTCCAGCACAGATGGGGCAGGAGAACGTGAGCTTCATCCCTGGCTGAGGATGCATCCCCAGCTGAGGTCTGGCCAAGAAGCATTAAGGGACAGATGTTTTGGTACATGGGTGTTAGGAAAAGAAGGACAGGCTGACAAGGCTACCGCAAGGTTGCTGCGTTTGTATTTTGAACCCCGGAGCAATGGATGTTCTCCCAAGGTTGGACTCTATCTCTTGAACACTGGCAGCCATAGGAGACGTCTACATAAGCAAAGTCATTTGGGTAGTGTTACAGCAAATAGTCCAAACATTCAGTGTAAAGATAGAGTTAGTCATAATATGGAATATCCGTTTAGTAGTTAGAAAATGGTGATCCACGAGTTAAGAAGTTCTGTCAACATTGGTTATCTACCTAACAGTCATTGTCAAAGTTGAACTTTCACACATAAAAAGTTATTTTTCAGGACCTAGTCTAGTAACACAACATACGAAATCTACTTCTCACAGAACAGAGGCAAAGCAATCAATGCTTGGGGTCTGAATTCTGCAAGAACAGAAAAACAAAAGAGTGGATTGAGAAAGAAAGCAGGTCAGAATGATTCATAGACAGAAGAGAGAGGTGTTTCATAGACCCAGTATGAAAAAGACAGAAAAGCAAGGCATTTGCTCAAAGTCACACAAAGGCAAAGTTAGGACTGGAATTCCACCCCCATTTTTCTGACCCTAATGCCTGTGTACCAGCTCATGGCTTACAATTGCTTTTGTCCGTGGCTTGGTTGAATGAGGCATCCAAATGTGTGTCGCTGTGACCACTGAATATTCACTCACCACCTATAAGCAGGACAGGTCTCTGTGTATCTGACTAAGTAAAAACTTGTATCTGCTCTGTCCTGGGGCTGCCCACACCCTAGCCTCTGGCACCCAGGCCACCTAAGGAGTTTTCTCTTTCTTCACACTCCTGCTCTACCTACACTCTGCCTCATTCTTGCTGTGTCCTCAGTTTTGGAGGAGAGGAGCTTCCTGGGCAAGTGGAGAGAGAGAAAGTAAAAGAAAGAAGAGAAGAGAGCAGCTCTGTCTTAACCTCCACTGAACAGTCCTCTTACCACCCTGCCATTCATCCAGGGCCACGGGGGAATGCCATCTCCTACCACCTAGATAGTCAAGACCCTGGGGATTACACGACAGCCCACTTCCAAGGGTACAAGAGAATAGCACCCCATGCTGTGCTGGCCCGGCATGCATTTCCCCAGGAACCTCTGCTCCAGATTCTGATGACACTCTGTGCTGCTACTTATCCCAGTGAGATTCTTGGGGCATTGTGGGTAAGCAATTTGGGGGTCTGGCCTTGGCAAACCAAGTAAACATTCACTCCAAAGTACTAAAGAGTCTCACCAGCAGCTCAGGGAACATTAGCCCCTACTCTGCAAATTCCTCTCAGTAGCTTTGAGGGTCCCGGGTAGTCCCTCAATGCATGCCTAACCCTCTTTCACCCACTGTGCTTGAGAGGCAGAAATCCTATATGCTAATGCCCCTGACTTATATCAGCATCTTGAAACAGGTTGTGATGTTTATAGCTTGGGAACTGGTAGAGTCTGCAGACCACGACTTATTGCTGAATATTCCCAGTTATACTCCCACACATTTCAGTCTGTACATATGCGTATACATGATATACACGTAGGCACAAACAGATCAAAATCCATTTAGGTTTCTATTAAATGAGTTTGTATGATGTCTTCATCTACTATCAATGCTACATGGCCCTTGCTAGGATACAAATGCTGACATCTAGAAACCAACACATTGGGGCAAGATAGTAGGAGGGAAACTTCTAGAGTCAAGGAATCAAGGAAATCCACAGTGTCCTGCGGTTGCCAGTGACTATATTTCCATTTCATGTGGCAGGATTTCTTTTTACTTTGCTAGCAATCTAGAAAGTTCAAGTCTGTGATCAATACATGGTAAGTGCTATGGGGGCTGTATCCCAACATACTGGAGACCCAGAAAGGAAACCTGTCGCACACAGGAAGGGCACACATGCATGAGCCAAGAAGTGAGAGAGATGCCAGGCTAGCTTACAACAGTCTGGTCACCTGGGACCTCTCATGACAATGAGAAGCCTTCATCCTCACAAGACAGTTCCCTTTGACCCAATCACCTCTCATTAGGCTCCACCTTTTAAAAATCCTAATAGGTAAAAAAAATTAATGTTGATATGTAATTAATGAAAAAAATAGGATGTTAAAAGATAACTGTAAGACTACCCAGGTATATGCTGTATTCCCACTTATATAGAACTGATCAATAAAGCAACAGCACATTCACTTAGATACTGATTTAATTCATGGATCGAGGCCATAATTTCAAAGGGTGCCAGGACACTGCAAAAGCTAGGGTTGAGAAACAGCATATGCTTACTAAACGAGAACTATGTTCACTCACCTAGTGACTACCTAGAGTAATAGAATTTTACTTCATGACAGCAATCAGGCTCACAAACACCCAGAAATAGAATTTAAGGGTTTTAAATGTAGTTAAAAAGGTCATAAAAAGTCTGATTAGACTGAGGTACATTTACTCAAAATGCTGAGATTTATTAAGTGGCAGAAACAAAATAATTAATCCCTCAAGCCAATGTCCATTCTCAGTGTACATGTAGTTGGGGATGGGAGGAGGACATTAATTGGGGAATCCCACCAAGCTGCAAATCAATATTCTGACATACCAAAGTTTGAAGGCAAGAGACATGTTCTAATATAATTTTAGATTATGTATCATTTTAGCTAAAGTAGAGCATAAGGTTGCTTTTGCCATATTAAAAGCTTACTGCAATAATTTTTCCACATAAACATTCAGACTTGAACTCCAGGTCTAAATATGGCATGATTATTTTGCTTTAAATCTGTCAAATATCTAAAAATTGACAATTTAAAAACTAAAAGAAAAAACTGAAGCCGTGAGACTCTTACATCACTGACCCACTTCTAATGGTTAACTGTTAGTACTTAACAAATTCAAAGAGTTAATGAATACTGCTATTCATTCCATGGCTTCTTTGTAACCAAAATACAGATACCGATATCTTCTGTTTTTAAAGTAACCAACTCCATGAGCTCATACCATGTTCAGCAACACTGATGCCACACAGAAGGGCACAGGGAAATCAGAGAAATTGGTACACACTGGGGAAATCAGGGAAGCTCAAACTAGGGCCAAACCCTGAAAAGTTTAAAAAGCACCTGGATTGGATGGGGCCTCTTCCCAGCAAAAGAGACCCACAGCTGGGAAGAACCAGCTGCTTTGTGAGCACCTGGATGAGAAGAGTTATTGACTTACGTGGAGCACCTGTACAATAAGGTGCCAATCACTGTCAGCCTCCGTGGCCTCAGGTCACTTGCCTGGAATTTTTGATCTCCAATGAGTAGCACATTAGGATTGCTTAGAATACAGACACCTCAAGGCAAGAGAGACATGAGGCACTTTAGACTCTAAACCAGAGGACATGCACTGATTTTGAATTGCTCCTCACAGGGAGGAGTGATGTGGGACCAGGGTACTATGACTCACCCACCAAAGTGGACAGCAACTAATTATCCGAACTCCAAACCCAGCCCAAGTATTAACTTTGTTTTATTGCCCTGAAAACAATATCAATGTTGTTGTTTTTCAAATCCTACTGAACCAATTCAAATTAGAACCAGTCTTTTGAAAAAGGTTGAGCCAGGAAAAAAAAAAAGAACCATAAAAGCAAAATCATTTCAACACAAGTATTGTGTTCACTTCGCGTGTTTCTAAAACACCAGTATGAACTGAATACATGTATTTCTGTCTAGAGATCTTCTCATTCAATCCCATTAGCCCATTTGTC